TCAGGTGATTAAAACACTGAATTCAGAACGGAGTGCAACTTTCGAATTTGCAATCAGCTTGCGAAGACAAGCTCTGTTTTTTTAGCTCATCGCCAGTTTCAAGCGTGAATTGCACGGTCGAATAGTTCGATTAGATCTTTACCGGTATACGAAAAGCTAGATCAACTCCTCTCACTTACCCACCTGCCAACTACCGCTACCCCTATTACCGATCAGACGTTTTGTTTCATCCACGTTTCAATCGATGACCTTTTATTTTCTGTTTATTGAAGCGTGTTATCTATGAATTTACGTTTATTTGTTTAGTCATAATATGTTGTACAATTTACACAAGTGCCTGTATAAACTGAACAACCCAATCGGGCAAGAACCTTAACATACAGTTCATTCGCAAACATCCCTCTGTAAATCATGAGTATCGGCTAATTGTCTAATGTTTAGCAACAAGATCCTCGAAGTCTCGTTTATTGGACAGCATACTCAAAAAATGGAACGGCCGAAGGATCCATTGTTTATGCCAATTACGGAACGTTTGATGATTACGCTCAATTAGACAGAGTAAGCATTTGAACTTTTTACGATGTTAAACTGTTCTGAAATCATTTGTGCTTCATGAATTCCGTATTGATATGTTCTGCTGTTATCGTGCCATCTTAATGTGTTGAAATTTTTTTCAATTGATGCCTGCTTGACTATTTTTTTCGCTTAAAACCTACAATGGTGTTTCCACCGAAGAACAAGCTCGTCATGTGTTTGAGTCTCGTCATCCGTGAGATAAATTAATTTTGGTGTTCCTTTGGTCCATTTAAATTGCAAACGGTCAAATGAATGAATGCTCNCGTGAGATAAATTAATTTTGGTGTTCCTTTGGTCCATTTAAATTGCAAACGGTCAAATGAATGAATGCTCTCAGGTTGGTGTGAGTTTGGAAGGGAAAATTGTACTGTGTCGTTATGGCGCTGTTTTTCGCGGTGATAAGGTACAAATGGCGGAGGATCGTGGTGCCATTGGAGTGATCATTTACAGTGATCCATTCGACTACGCGAAAGATAATAACGCCAATAAGGTCGGTTGCAGCATTTTCAGTATATGCGCGATACTCATTAAGGGGAGTGTCGTACACATTACTTTCCCTCTTGCCGGATCTTCGCATTTTATGCGTTGTTCGCAGAATCTCGAATGTTTTGCAATTGCGATGCATGTTTCAGACATTTCCAGACAGTATCTGGTTACCTCCATCCGGTGCACAAAGAGGAACACTGTTGAAGACAGACGGTGATCCAGAAACACCGTTTATTCCATCAAAACAATATGTGTATCGAACAGAACGAGAAGATGATCTACGCAAAAGGCATATTATGCCGAATGTTCCAGTGATGCCAGTTGGCTACAGAGATGCGGTCAAAATAATGCGCAATTTGGATGGACCACTGGTTCCGGTGAGTTTGTGAAATGATCGTTGCTTTGATAAATTTGTGAAAAATGATCGATTATGATGAGTGTCCCTGCTTATGTATAATGAGACTAATTTGCAGTGGAGCAACTGGAAAGGTGGTTTGAACGCAAGTTATCGTCTGTTGGGCTCAAGTCGTTTTCGGTTGACCGTAAATTCGCAAACAACTCGGCGCACGATTACAAATGTTATCGCAACGATGCGTGGTTATGAGGAACCAGATCGCTACGTTATGTTCGGTAATCACGTAGATGCATGGGTCCAGGTTACACATATTTTAGTCATAATGAAGTTTTCATCCATTTGGCTCTCTTTATTGTAGTGTTCCTCTTCATGACAGCTTGAAGGGGATGACAGACTGAAAGNTTTTGCAATTTAGCGTTTTGTAGGGTGCGATTGATCCAAATTCGGGTACAGCAACCTTACTTGAAATGGCAAGAGTTTTGGCGGACGTTGCGAAAGAGACCAACTGGCGACCTCGACGTACCATAATGTTTTGTCAGTGGGATGCAGAAGAATTTGGTTTGATCGGTAAATTTTTCAGTTCCTAATTTCACTGCTTTACATCACTAGGAATGAGTACGTGTTAGGAAGGAAACGAAATAAAGTTGATGAGGCCATACAAATAAGTGAAATAATTGCAAGTTTTGAGGGAAGACTCCAAATTAGCGATTAGCGGAATACTTTTGTTGATTAACATTTTAGCAGCGAAAATTTTCGCTGCTTTTTCCGGTCAGCGGAAAATTCTCGCTACATTTTCGATGATAATAACGATAGCGAATCATTTTTAGCGGAAAGATATTTTTCCAAGCGAATCAGTGATTAGCAAAGCTATTTTTTTCAGTAGCGTACTCATCGCTGAATATAGCGAATGTGTATTCACCAATGCAGTATTTCCATTGTTCCGTATATATGAGAAAGGCTTGTGTTTCAGGAAGCACTGAATGGGTGGAAGAATTGATGAAACCCCTCCAACAAAGAGCAGTTGCTCTGATCAATGTTGATAACATCAATGGTAATACAAGCCTTTCGGTTAAGGCCGTTCCCCTTCTCTATCGAGCTCTTGTTGATGCGGCTGCCAAGTAGGTGTATACAAACTTTCTCGGTTTATCACATTTTAGGTTTATGCCACATGTTGAATATTGCCTTCACTAGACAACTGGTCTGTGT